TCTATACCCTACTTGCTTTGTGTGTTGGGAAAGTTTGCATTTGGTTTTCCAGTCTAAAATATAATGAAAATAGATATAATGATGCATAGATGCATAGCTTCACTGTAAGGAAATGAGTTAATATATGTAAAGTGGGTATAACAGTGAAAACCAGTTTGCTCTGTTGGGCTCTGTAAAACCTGATCTTTATGTCTTATTAACCAGAGTTCAACCATGTTTTCAAATATTTCCTCAGCTTGTAGATCTTTGTTAGTCTCTGCTTCTGGTGTGTAGTAAAGTTGCCATCTAACACTAGGTCCCATTAAACATACACAAATACACATACACACACCTCTCATCACTTAGGATGGCCTATACCTAACATCAAACTAAATGGAGAAAAACTTGAACTAATCCCACTGAAATCAAGGACAAAGTAGGGATGTCCACTCTCTCCTTATCTCCTCAACATAGTTCTTGAAGTCCCAGCTAGAGAAATAAGACAAGTAAAGGAGACCAAGGGAATACAAATTAGAAAGGAAGACGTCAAAGTATTACTATTTGCAAATGATATGATAGTATACATGAGTGACCCCAAAATTCTACCAGAGACCTCATTCAACTGATAAACACCTTCAGTAAACTGGCTGGATGCAAAATTAACTCAAAAAAAATCAATAGTACTCCTGTATAGGAAAGAATAAAAGGACTGAGAAAGAAAATAGGGAAATGACACCCTTCACAATAGCCACAGATAACATAAAGTACCTTGGCATGACTCTAACCAAGCAAGTGAAAGACCTGTTTGAAAAACTTCAAGATTCTGAAGAAAGAAACTGAAGAAGATATCAGAAGATGGAAAGATCTCCCATACTCATGGATAAATAGGATTAACATAGTGAAAATGGCTATCCTACCAAAAGCAATCTACAGATTCAATGCAATTCCCACAAAAGTACCAACACAATTCTTTACAAAACTTGGAAGAACAATTCTCAATTTCAAATAGAAAAACAACAACAACAAAAACAAAAAACAAAAAACAACAACAACAACAAAAAAAAACCCAGACTAGCTAAAATCATCCTATACAATAAAAGATCTTCTGGAGGTATCTCCAACCCAGATCTTAAGTAGTACTATATAGAACAGTAATAAACACGGCATGATACTGGCATAGAAATAGACTGGTAGATCAATGAAATAGAATCAAAGACCTAGAAATAAACCCACACACCTAAAATACTTGATTTTTGACAAAGAAGCCAAAACCATTCAATGGAAAAAAGATATCATCTTCAACAAATGCTGCTGGTCTGACTGGATGTCTACATGCAGGAAAATGAAAATAGATCCATATTTATCACCCTGCACAAAACTAAAGTCCAAGTGGATCAAAGACCTCAACATGAAACCAGATACTGAATCTGTTAATAGAAAAAGTGGGGAAGAGCTTTGACCTCTTTGGCACAGGAGACAGCTTCTTGAACAGAACAGCAAGAACATAGGTTCTAAGAACAACAATCAATAAATGGGGCCTCATAAAACCAAAAACTTCTGTAAAGCAAAGGACACTGTCAGAACAAAACTTACGGACTTGGAAAAGATCTTTACCAAACCTACATCTGACAGACGGCTAAAATCCAGGATATATAAAGAACTCAAGAAATTAAACTCCAACAAATCAAGTAATCCAATTAAAATATGCATTACAGAGCTAAACAGAATTATTCAACAGAGAAATATTGAATGGCAGAGAAACACTTAAAGAAGTGGTCAATGTCCTTAGTCATCAGGAAAATGCAAATCAAAACAACCCTTAGATTCAACCTCACACCCATGAGAATGGCTAACTCAATGGCAGGCTCTTTGACCTACCCACCCCGCAAGGGAGGAGTAGTCCTGCTAGGCCACAGAGGAGGACTTTGCAGCCAGTCCTGAAGATACCTGATAAAACAGGGCCAGATGAAAGGGGAAGAGGTCCTCCCCAGTCCGTGGACCTGGAAAGGGGCAGGGAGAAGCTGAAGGAGGGAGGGTGGGATTGGGAGGGAATAAGGGAGCGAGATACAGCTGGGATACAGAGTTAGTAAAATGTAACTAATAATAATAAACAAACAAACAAACAAAAACCTCAGTGGATAATGCCTGCTGGAGAGGATAAGGAGAGAGGGGAAACCTTTTCCATTGCTGGTGGGAATGTAAACTTGTACAACCACTTTGGAAATCAATCTGGTGCTTTTCAGAAAATTAGGAATAGTGCTACTTCAAGATCCAGCTATACTACTCCTAGGCATGTATCTACAATATGCTCAACTATACAACAAGGACATTTGCTCAACCATATTCATAGCAGCTCTATTTATAATAGCCAGAAGCTGGAAACAAACCAGATATCCCCCACCTGAGGAATGGATACAGAAATTGTGGTACATTTACATGATGGAATATTACTCAGCAATTGAAAACAAGGAAATTGTGAAATTTGCAGGCAAATGTTGGGAACTAGAAAAGATCATCCCAAGTGAAGTAACCCACAAGGAGAAAGATACATATGGTATAAACTAATTTACAAGTGGATGTTAGCTATATAATATAGGAAAATCATAGAAAATCTACACTCCTAAAGAAGCTAAACAGCAAGGAGAACCCTAGGGAAGAGCTGAAACCTCAGAAGGGTAAACAATATATACATTGGAAGTAGAAGAAGACAAGGAACAGGGCAGGAACCTTCCACAGAGGACCTCTGAAAGACTCTACCCACCAGGGTATAAAAGGAGATACTGGGAGTCCTAGCCAAACTTTGGGCAGAGTGCAGGAAATCTTATGGACGAAAAGGGAGAGAAAAATACCTGGAGGGGACAGTAACTCCACAAGGAGACCAAAAAAGCCAAAAAACCTGGGCCCAAGAGGTTCTGCAGAGACCGATACTCCAACCAAGCACCATACATGGAAAGGACCTAGATCCCCTGTTCAGTGGAAGCATGTAAGCTGCTCAGTTTCCAAGTAGGTTCCCTAGTAAGGGATACAGGTGCTGTCCCTGATATGAACTCAGTGGCTGGCTGTTTGTTCTCATCCCCCTGTGGGATGCATCCTTGCCAGGCCACAGAGGAAGATGATGCAGTCAGCCCTGATGAGACCTGATAGGGTAGGGTCAAACAGAAGGGGAGGAGGTCCTTCCCTATCAGGGGACTAGGGAAAGGGCATAAGGGGAGAAAGGAGAGGATGTGTGGGACTGGGAACAAATGAGGGCGGAGGCTAAAGTGGGGATACCAAGTGAATAAACTGTAATAACTAACTAGATATAGATGATAGATAGATAGACGATAGATAGATAGATAGATAGATAGATAGATAGATAGATAGATAGATAGATAGGTGGATAACACCTCATCTCTTAGGCTGGGCTCAAACTGGCTATGTAGCTCAAGAAGGCCTGAAATTTCAAGTGTTTCTGCCTCTACCATTCTAGTGCTAGGAGTATAGATACATGCCATTGTGCATAATTTACATGGTACTGGATACCAAATTCCAGGGCTGCACGCATGCTGGGTAAGCACTTTACCAACTGAGATACATGCCCAGAACATCCATTCCTACCTTCTTAGGGCATCATAGCTAGAATCAACTAACATCCATTGAAGACCCTTTCTAGGGCACTGCTAGTGATTATGATGTCTAAACTTGAATTTTCTGCTCTTTCCTCTTTCACCTGCCTATACTTAAAATCCTGTTGCACATATGAACTCACAGAGACTATGGCAACATGCACAAGGTCTCCATGTGTCTGCACCAATGGGATTTTAGAGATGAATGAAATGGACACACACACACACACACACTGTGTGCATGAATGCACACACAAACACACACCCATCCCTAACCCAGAAGCTATCTCCAATTCATAGTCACTTGCACATATATATATATATATATATATATATATATATATATATATATATATTTTTTTTTTTTTCCTCCAAGGGAGTCTCACTAAGGAAATAAACCACTTTTAGGAATAGGCTGCATGTCCAGAAATAGCTGACCAACAGAAAACTAACTCAATGACATCTTTGGATGTTCTTTGTCTCATAATGTTAAGTCAGGATATCTTTTTGTTATATATTATAGCTTCCAGTTTTACGTTCTTATGGTATTCCTGTGTGTCTGAATATATGTCTCTGTGTCTATACAGATTTGTTGTGCTTTTTTTTTTCTTTGTCTTTTTTTCTTGTTTGGTTGTTTTGTCCTTTTCCACTTTGATTGTTTTATCTTTTTATTTTATTACTGTTCTTTAGATTCCTGTCTGTTTTCTAAAGAGAGACAGAAAGGGTATGGATCCATGTGGAAGGGAAATTGGGAAGCACTGGATGATTATAGGAGGGGAAACTGTAATCAGAGTATACTGTATGAGAAGTATTTTCAATAAAAGAAAATAATAAAGTAACCTAGGGAGGGAAGGAAGGTGGGAAGGAGGGAGGGAGGGATGAAGGAGAGAGAGAAAGAGAAATAGATAGAAAGAGAGACCTGGATAGACCTAAGCCCATGGAGATACTAATAAAAAGTAAGTGGCCTCGAACATAGTTCATGAATGTTTGCTTTAGTTTGACAAACTTCAAGCTTTCTGTTCTGAAAAAATCAATTCTAAAAGATATAGATATTCCAAAATCCGGAGGCAACATCACTTCTTTGGTAATTAAGTGGTTCCTTTCTATTTATTTAGTCATTTTTCTCATTATATGATAAGGACAGAAAGCAATTCTGTGTGGCCTTCCAGTCTTAATTCTGAATGTCTGTGACATTATTATTTTTAATTTCAAAACTAATCAAAATATCAGAAAGGGGACATTATTTAAAAGCTTGTTGAATCAAGGTCTGCTACTCCATTATTGGGAGACATGAAAGGATATAAGATGGTATGTGAAAGAATCACAAACGCCAACCAGCAAAATCAAATGGAATAAAGAATTAAAAGCTTAAGGGTAAGAGTCAGAGAGAGTTTAAATCTTGGAGCTGTCACTTACCAGCTGTGTGACCTCATGCCACTGAACTGCTCTTTGTCTCAGTTTCCTGAACTGTAAGTAGGGACACTAATGCCTGTCTCATAAAACAGCAGAGTGCCTGAAAAATAATAAATACTTAGTAAATGGTGTATGTTAATAACAATAACAGCAACAGTAATAATAGCTTGGGAAAACAAATTTGACCTTTTCTTCAGCATCATTCATCAAATTATAAACTACTTGGAATAGGACCATCTTTCTTTATGTTTCCACCCCAAATCTTTTCCTTCTGATCAACGTTTTACCTCATTTCATAAAATGATGCATTTCTAAGATATTGGTTCATGTCTTGACCAGAAAGCAAGATTCTCAAGAGGGCAAGTCTTCCTGCAGAACGGACCTGGCCACAGAACAGAAGACTGATAAAACTTGAAATATCAGAGCCTCAAATCTAGTTGTTTAACACGTAAAACTAAAAAGTAACGTAAAACAAAAGCTCACATCACTCTTCTAAGCTGAGAGCTAGAGCCCTGAAGCTCACCAATAAGATCCTGAGTTCAAATCCTAGAACCTGCTTGAAGCTAGACAGGGTAGCATAGCATACATTTTTTGTTTGTTTGTTTGTTTGTTTTTGTTTATTTTTTAAATCTCAGAGCCCCTGTGGAGAATGAGCTGCAGAGCCAAAGGAATCTCTGGAAGCCACTGGCCAAGAACTGTTCTATGTGGCACAGGCACATGTTGAACTTCGGCAAGTGGGCCTCAGGACTAAAAGGGACCGGACTCTGCACGGACCGGGAATCAAACCCAGGCCTGCAGTGTTGCAGGCAAAAAAATCTACCACTGTACCACCCATGCTGTGGGCACAACTGTCACCTGATGCTCCCATAGCTTGTGTGCCCCCGACAGTCCCAGGACCAGCTAGCTGCTCTTTCCCTAGTCAGACCCTGTGCCCTGGGTGGATAGGCCAGGGAAAAGAAGTTGTAAAACCAGTTAGGTTAGCAAACACAGTGTGAAAACAAAAGGGGTCCTCTCTCAAATAAGGTAGAAAGTGAAGACTAATAAACTAAGCTTATCTGATCATTGTCCTCTATACATATGCTGTGGTATGCTAATATCTACACTAATAGAAATGAATGAGTGCCACACACATTCGCATACACACAAATATTCACACACACACATATAAAGATTTAAAATTTCTAATAATGTTCCAAAAGTTTATGATTTTGTGTTGGGCCTCATTCACAGCTACACTGAAGGTACATGTAACCCTTAAGTGAAAATGAGCTCCAGTGCTCTAGGCAACAGTTTGACAGTAGAAATTGCAGCTCAACTTGACCATGATGGTAATGTCACATGACTTGGAAAAATAAGGGATCATACACTGGCCAGGAAGGTTTAGTGACTACTAAATTTCAATGTGAATGTGAACATCAGAAAAGTGCATTTCTTAAATGTACAAAAGAACAACATCAAGCCAGAAAATTATTAGCAAAATTAAGTGTTTTTAAAACTATAAAATGCAAGCAATGCTAAGGAGAGAAATTGTGTAGACCTTGTCATAATAAGGCTAGGAACATAGTTCAATGATAGAGAACTTGCCTAGTATGTGTGAGACCATAACTACTTTCATTTTCAGTGCTTGGGGGGGGGGGCGATACTATGAAGGTAGAAGACACTGGACAGTGGTCAACTTAACAAGATCCGATCTCTCATACGCATCTCAGATAAAGCCTGCAGGATTTCCAGAGGCCCTTGAGAATAGAAATGGCTTTCTTTCATAGTCCTAGTTGGTCTATTATGGCCAAAATACTCACTTTGTCCTCTTTGCCAAACAATTTCCTCCTCAAATAGAAACTGACATTTATTTCTCCCAGGTAGTTTGCCCCTCACTTCTCTTGTAGAAGTCCAGTTTCTATCTTTATTCTTTGCCAATGTTTATAGATAATTTGTTGTGACTAAAGATGCATACAGAAACATGGCATGTCTTAAAACATTGATATTGAAAATGTCATATTCCCTTTCATTGGAGAAATATGAACATTGTGGGATGGGTAATAACTTTCACACACACTCAACAATGTGTAGTCAATCAGCCTCTGCCATAGATTCACTGTGACATAATTGGCCATCTAGGATCTGAGGCCTTATGTGTCACAAGTGGAAAGCTTGATTGAGGAAGCACATGAGTACCATAAGATTGTAGCTGGTCAAGAAGAGTAACACCAAGGAAAGTTGGAATAAACTCTTGGAATGGAGGGAGGGAGGGACAAGAGGATACAGAGATGAGATCCTCCAGTCTGATGTCAGAACCTGTCTTGAATGAAGTGAATGCAGTTCCTGAGCACAATATTCAATGTTGTTCTCAGGTCTCCAAATGCATATGTACACATACACGTGAACACTCAGAACACATGCATCTTGGAAAACGTCTTCGTTGTGAAGGTGGGACCTGACACTCATGACATAATATCAGAAAAGCAATAAAGTACTACTTTAACCAGCTATCTTGATTGATTCTCACTCTTGACGCCCACAGACCTACTTCTGACCTAATCTGAGTTGAGGTTAGTTATAAATGACTGTTGCAAAGCACATGCATAGTCATTAAGCTCAAAGGCAGATTTTGTCATGACAGTGTCTTTAACTTATCTGATCTACATAGTCCAAGAAAGTATATTTTATTACCTTAAACCCATATCCTAAAATGCATTTTTATAAAACACACACTTAAAACATGACATAACACAATCCTAAAATTTATGCATTCCTCTTAAACCTAGTTGTATTTTTTTTTCTTAAAAGATACATGTGTTTGCTCTCTGGGTCCTTGACTGACAATTCCATGTTGCCCAATTTTTCTGGATAATGACAGTGATGATAATTTTGGTGCGTATTTTTTTGGCAGTTGGAAAGATATTTAGCTAATAGATAAACATTAACAGAGAAGTATTTTTAATGAATACTTGCCTACAAAAATATCATCTTTAATTTTAGAATTAATCATGAGGCAAGAAATGCATACTGCATGGAATTAATGATAATCTTCATGTATTTGCATTTTAATTGCTCTAAGTGCTTCCTTGTTGGTCAAAGAGTCTGCAGATTTTCAGTGCTTCAGTGTATTCTATACATGCTGATCTCTTACAACCTGGTCCCTTCTCTGTTACCCACTTGTCTTCCCCTCTTTGACAGTTAATATTGAAGCTCTGGATGAGTCTGTGAGAGATTTTCTACTTTAAGTTTCATTGAGACAGGAAGATCTGTCTTAAATCTGAGTGATACCATTTCGTGGGCTTGGGAACTGGACTGTGTCAAAAGGAAATGAGGAATCAGCATTTATTTCTCTCTGCTTTCTGACTGTGACCAGTTGCCTTATGCCCCCACAGCCAGGTCTTCCCCACTATCCTAGGTTGTAGTCACTAAAACGGAAAGCCAAAGAACATCCTTCATGCTTCAAGTTGCTTCTTTTAAGGGTCACAGCAAGGAGAAAAGTAATGAACACACATTCACACACACACACACACACACACACACACACACACACATCTACACAGGCACGCACACACACAGGTGCACATACACACATATCATCTTCTAGCATTTGGTCTCATGCAAACCTGCAACCATTTTTCTCATTACTCCAGAGTGGAAGCCTGCTCTTCTATGTTCAATCTCCTGCTAACCCCTACCAAATCCTCAGAACAGTCACATCTCCAGAGTTCACCCTTTCGAACTCCCCTTTCTGTCCCTGAAGCCAAAAAGGGGGTAAAAAAAAAGCTTGGCTTTGAAGCTGGCCATTTTTTTTCCCTACCAGCTGTGTGACCTTTCAGGCTCAGCATGGGCTTAGTTTGTTCATCTAAATCCAAAACGTTGTTAGTTCTCAAATGTCCATCATAGTTGGTATAGGGAAAAAGCCGGTAGCCTTTCTTCTGAGATCATTCTGTTAGTGCAAAATATTACAGTTCCCTGTACAGTGTCAGTATGCTGAATGATGGGGCTTCATTTAAGAATCATCGATGTTCCAGACACATCTCTGGGCAGTAATTTCAGAAAAGACGTATTTAATACTTCCTCCTCCTAGAAGAAGGGTCTGGGACAGGAAAGACAGAATTCAGCTCCTTCAGTCTCAGTCCTCATTACTCCTTGAAGAGGCCCAAAAGAGATCTAATTCTCTAAGCACAGGGCTTCAAGGATGAGTATCAGCAAGGGCACTGCTGTTGCTGCCATCCAAGCAACCACTAGCAGAGACAGCAACTGCTAGGTACAAAGAATTTCTAGAAATCTAATAACTCTCCACTGGCATTTAGACTCTGAAATGGCTCATGCACACCACTGGCCACTATAGATGGATATGAAACAAGATGCAACATATTATTACAGTCCTGGATTTTGAAGATGCTCTTGACTCTCACTGAAATTGAGATGGGCCATGATCTTTCCCTCTGCTATACTTCCATTTTATGTTGAAAACAAATGTAGAGAAAATGAACAAAATTTCTACAAACTAGCTTGGGGGAGATTAAAGATTTTATATTTGTAACCCCAGCTAAGCAAAGACAACTGTGTCAAGATGCACATTTAAAAGAGTCCATTGGTTCCTCTAAATAGATATAGCCAATGGTTTCTTGCCAATTAGATTTAAAAGTTTGGTTGGAGACAAAGGGAAAAAAAATCATGATGTTAATATTAACTGTTAAACACTTAAATGAAACTTGTGACAGTGCAGGTCTAGTATTCAGCACAACACAAAAGAGAAAATAAGAACAAGATGGGGTGACTGCACTGAAGCAGCTAGAACATGAACACTCACCCTCCTGGTAGAATGTTGGCCATAGTGTCTTTGTGGGAGAATAAGATATTCTTGGAATCTATGGCCACACAACCCTGAAGGTACCTGATCTCCTCTGGTTTCAGAAACAAGGCAGAGTTAAGCATTGTTAGTTCTTGGATTGGAGGACAGATTTGGCATCTAATGGGAAAGAGGTTTCTAATAAAACACTCATGTTGGTAACAAATGGTATGTTATAGTAGAACAAATCATTGCATGCCACAAAACTACCCTTGTGACCAGAAAG